TATAACAGGAAAAAAGAAGAAAAAAAAAAAGATATTTTAACATTTGACTTTTGGAGTTTAATAAATAACTAATAATTGGTGGAGAGCAAAACAATTATAAAAAGAGAAAAAAATTAAAATGTCTTAATATTTTAAATATTGAGATATTCAATATAATCATTAAACATAAAACATAATATAAATTTTAATTTTATTATATTTATTATATAATTATTATTAAACATCCTACATTTAAATGCTAAAAAAATGATTTTTTCTTTTCTCATATAATAAAACCTTTAATCATATTCCATAGAGTTGTTATTTTTTATTCTTCTTTATTTTTGGTAACTGTTTTTTTTTTCCCTAACTAATACTATATTTTATTTCCTCAATGGGAAATGTAAGAGAGAGGGAAAATAAAGAAATTTATTTTTTAAAAACAGAATTACTTAATCCCAAGTGGAACAATGTGCAGTCATTATATTCAATTTTAAACCAGGAGAATTCAACGGGAGAATCATCCACCGATGTACATTCAGTATCAATGTAATTATATATAATAAACTCTTTCTCAAAAAAAAAAACACATTCATAAAGATCTCAATTGTTGATTTCGAATTTTGTAGCCCCTACCAAACATGGTGCCCCTGTCATTTATTGTTAAAAAACTCAATTGACTTATATTAATTTAATCTAGTATTATGTTGATTTCGATTGATTTCTAATTTTCTAGTACTATGTTTTAGTTCTTGATCGTTCAAGAAGCATTATATGCTATAGCTCCAATAGGCAAGTTTAGAGCATTTCTTCAAACAAAGGGAATGTTTCAGAGCTACCCAATTCTGTACACAACACACCACTCTCAACTCATACACAAACAAATCATCTCTTCATCTACAAATTATATTAAAAAGATGAAAAAGAACAGAAAAAGGGAAAAAGAATAGAAGGTCAGCTTTCTCCTCAGCCACCCTTCTCCCAACTCATATGCCCTACGTATCAACAGGGAACAACTACTATGGAGACAACCCCAAGAATCTGAACGGTTGAAAATACGCTTAAGAATTCCTTCCCACCAAACTTTATCTGATCTTCAAAATGAATATCCTTGTTTACAACTACGTCCACTTGCTTTCTGATCTTGAGCCTGGATAGTCACTTCGATCAGTGTCAGAATTTTCCCTTTGAGATTCAATCTCCAAACTACTTCCATGAGTTCTTCGGTGCCTTCTATCCTGTAAACCAATTTTTCAGTTAACATACATTTGTTTACATTCATTTCCTTATATGTCTTGAACTCAAAAACATGGTTCATGAAATCAGGCTATCAATATAGTTGTTGTCAAGCATGTGCTGATGTGCTAAATATCCATTAATTTTAAATTGCATTCCATTAAAATGAATGTTAGTGCTACAGAAATGAGTTTTGGTACCAACCTCCCTTAGTATTGGATATTCTTCAGACTCTAGCATACGCACAACTTGGCCCATCTTGGGTCTTTTATCAGAATCTGGATCAACACACCTCAGTGCAGTCAGCAGGGTACGCTTTAGGGCTCTAGTTGATGGTCTTACCTCTATATTTGGATCTACCACTTCCTCAGACCTCCGGCCTCCAACCATCATTTTAAGCCAGTCTACCAGATTCACCTATATGGTCATGAGTTCTCAAATATCAAATATAGGAAACTGCTACTTCACAAGAGAAATTAATTTCTGATAGGGATGCAACCTTCATCCAGCCTAATAAAAATGTAAACTTTGATACAGAAACAACAGAAAGAGGAATTATTTAGATTCTTTTTTTGGCCAGAAAAATAAACATTCAGACTGAGCCATCATAATAATGAAGAGTGAAAATTAGGGGCTTTATCATATATCAAAGAATAAAAAAAGATAGTCTGAGTCATGGCACTTGCATTTTGATAAAAGAAACTAAAGGCAGAGCAAAAAATTCAACAGAAGGGTTTTGTTCAACTATAACTTTATTGGGGAAAGGAGGAAGTGGGGTTTGGGATGGGGGGTTGGGTGCTCAAAATGACATTCACATTATGTAAACTGAATTTTCTACCATGGAGACTAATAAATTTGCAACCATGCTCAAATTCCTCCCTCCCAAAATGCAAGCATTACTCCCACTCACCAAATGCCAACTAATAACTTTCTAAACCTTTTGGCCAAAAAAAGAAAAAACAAAAAAATGCTTTCTAGACTTCAATAACTAAGGCAGTAAGTCTCAAGTATGATTCAATAGCTATTGTTAATATGACTTTCTTAACAAAGATCCTATCAGCACTTATGCTAACCTCATGGGCAGGACGACCATAATCTACAGGATCTCTTCCAGTGATAGCTTCCAGTAGTACAACCCCAAAGCTATAAACATCACTCTTTTCATTCAGAAGGCCTGTATTAGCATACTCAGGGGCCACATACCTGTGTGATTTTGAGAAAGGGGTAAGTGGATAATGACGATGAGAGATGATTATCCTCCGTCCAAAGAGAACAAAAATACAAATAAACTAGGCAGAGAGAAAAGAGATTATTTTATAAACACATGCAAACATGCATTTGAGAAAATACTTACCCAAATGTTCCCATCACTCGAGTGGTGACATGGCTTTTCCCAGCACCCAGCAATTTGGCAAGACCAAAATCAGAAACCTTGGCATTGAACTCATCATCAAGCAATATATTGCTTGACTTAATGTCTCGGTGCACCACTTTTGGTTCAATGGCCTCATGCAAATAGGCAAGACTGCAAAAGGTGCATCATGTTAAAATTTTGAAAAGAGAATCTGAGTGCTGGGTGGGTATGAATGAAAAACTTACGCTTTAGCTGTGCCAAGGACGACCTTCATGCGAGCATCCCAAGTAAGATACCCATGCTGACGCATGGCTCCGTGAAGCCATTGTTCTAAGTTTCCATTGTTTACATACTCATATACCAGCATCCTGCAATTTTAAATATAAATATGACCACATGCTTTCTGTTAATGGATAATAGCTTCATCAATATCTAGGTTACACTGAATTAAGCTGCCTCCAAAATATTTAAGCCCCATGTGATTCTTTCCACAATTTCTCCATAATATTTGTTAGTGTTAAAGAATAATTGATTATCTTTTTTGGTGCTAACCCCCTAGTATCTAGAAGTCACATTAGGCCCCAACTAATCCAGAGTCGAGCCAGGTTGGACCCCATAAGGGGGAAAGCTCTTCCAACACCTGTTTCTCCATTCACAACACTTGAACTCGAGACCTTCCTTAAAGGGAATTGAACTACTTCCACTTGAATAAACAAGTCATTGGTAAAGAATAATTGATTATCTGATTAACCAATTTAGACCTTAAACTAATAAGAGCAAATTAAATTTTGACTATACCTGTGTGTGCCTTCAATACAGTATCCAAGAAGGCGAACCAAATTTTTGTGGCGCACATGGCCAATGGCTTCTACCTCCACTCGAAATTCTTTCTCTGCTTGACCCCTAAACAAAAGAAGATAAAGGTTAAGAGATGCAAGATAAAATAAAGAATACTAAAGGTCACGAAATTCACAAATATACTCACAAGTTGTTGAGGATCCTTTTAACTGCCACTGGTGTCCCATTGATCAATTGTCCTCGATAAACAACACCATACCCACCCTCACCGAGTACATTTTCCTTTGAGAACCGATTCGTAGCGAGTTCTAGATCCCTCAATGTAAACCAGTGGCCCCACCCCAAGTGAGAAAATTCTGGCAGACCACTAAGAGGAGAAGGAGCAGTGATAGGATAGGAAGAACAAGGTTTGTAAACAGTTACCGTGCCTGAACTCCCTTCTTCACCCGATTGAGACCCAGCACCATCTTTCTCTAAGTGGTGAAAGGAACCAGACTGGCTGCCCATTCCCAGATGGACCAGCACCTTATCTGAATCTTTGTCGCTGGATTTGTCATGGATGGTGAGAAGAATCCCATCACGAGGAACAAAATCAGCGGCTGATACTTGCTCCACTCTGACTTCCTTGATCTCCTTTGACACAGTTGGGATTTGGCTAATTGGAATCTTATTGCTGGCTCTTGATTTCTTCCGGGAAGTTAAACAAAATGATAACACGGAAAGGATGATTATGATAAATAAGGCCACAACAATCCCAATTACTTCCCAGACCTTAAGACCAAAAACAACAGTTTCCTTGGATAGTTCTGTGTTAAGATCAGTTGCCATGTCTGTTTTTCCTAAATGCTTCTCAGATTTTCAGAACCTACATCACTGATACAAGACACACAAAATAAAAATTTCATGAACACATTAATGTGCTATTCAGGTTAATAGATATATTACTCCATTATTCACGTCTGATACTGAAATTTCGTTCAAATTTATCTCTAAAATGCTATCATCCATTGCCAGACAGAGCTAATACAAACATCAAGATAAGAACATGCCTCAACTAGTCAACTACCTATAGCATACAAACAACAGAACTAATGGCCTGGAAACCAATGATTCAAGCTAAGAACTGAAGCAGAACGTTTTTCATGATAAAATACAAATTAATGGAATCCCATTAAATTACTTAACAATAAGGCCCCGGAAACAAAGAACCAACTTCTCAATGGTATAGCAATAAAAACATTTACCAAAATAAATGGACCTTATATATGCATATAGACAGAAACAGGAACCAAGAGAATAAAAGCACAATGCAAGCATCATATGATTCCTCGAAGCAGATCATATTCTTACCTTCCTGTATGGAATTCACAAAGCAGCCTTGAAAGACCAGATCTTTGAGACGCCCTTCACCATAGCCACTCCTCATTCGGAGAAAATCAAACTCAAAACGCCAGATCTCAGACCAAGCAACAAACCCAAGAAACACTCGTAAAGAACAGAACGTGCCAGAACTAAATGAACCCACTTCCCAGAAACACCAGCTATATGGCCCAAATGAGGTGATTTCCCTTCTGGGTTTCACCTTTGATAGCAAAATGTGATGCTGAATCTAAGCTGAGACAGAGCTTTCTGGCACCAGAAGCAAAACCCTTCTTGTAAAGCAGCCTGAAATGACCACAAAAGGCCTGAGAGTAGATGGACGTGGAAATGGTGATGAATATTGTTTAGTGATAAACGGTGAGGATAATAAGAGAGAAGAGGAAATGGAGTTATCAGTGGTAGGTGATGAGTTTAGATGCCTTCCAACTCATTGCATAGAGTACTGTAAAACAGAAGCTTGGAAATTTGTAAGGTTTTCTTGGGATTTCCCTTATTTGCTTTGAAGATGACTAGTTATCAGTAAATTTACTTCCTTTTCCTCTTTGATGCAACCAAGAATGTCAACAGATGTAGTAACTCCCATTGGCTTCTTGTTCTGTGTTCCGCCCCTTAGAATAGTACTCCCCACTAATTGCTTGGTCAAACATCTTGATTAAGATTAATAGGTGATGATTATGATAATGAAGGGTAGATTAATTAGCAATTAGTGGTTATTCCAACCATCATTAATTTATTTCTTGAAGAACATGCTGGTATAATAACGACTAAAAGAAAATTTTTCTTGTACCAGAAAAAAAAAAGAAGAAAATTTTTCTCAACATCTATTGGCTTTGGTTTCACCTTTTACCTTTTTATTGTGATCCTGTAAATAAATTTTACAAAAACAGGAGATCACAAAAAAGGGAGGATCTTTTTGTTGTCTCAATGGCAGGTTACATCATATATCTAACTGAAAAGTAAATGGGTTTGGAAACTTCAGGTAGAAATGAAGAAGTATCTGATCGTATGGTAATAAATTCAATTTAATTGTCAATTAATTGGTTCAGTTCAGGAGATGCAGAACACACAAACAACAATCAAAGTTGATACCTTTAGCACTTTTTCTCCACCAAATCATCAAGAAATTCCGCTCATTTGCTTGGATAACTTAATCATCCAATTACCATTAACAAGGAAGAGGGTATTAGGGGAGGGTATTAGGG